CTTTTTGCACATGCAAGAAAAGAAGGGGAGATTTGTGCTAAAAATATAATGCCGACACTGTAATTATACAAACAGATTGAAGTCTTAATATAACATCTAAATCCAAAGTCCTTACTGTTTTCACAAATATTTATGGGACAGAAAAGATTATATGACTGTGAAATAGATAAGGATCTTAATTTATTAGGACTCAAATTTCAAATATTGTGAAATTCTATGTTTACTGTAAGTTTGTAAGTATAGATATTTATAGAGTACTTAAGTTATGTTAATTTGGGAGGAAGTAATGTGACTTATTTTTAATGAGTCATTTTTGTTACCTGAAGGAGAAGCTGTGTCATTTGTTTATTTATTTTTTGAATACTTTTATTTGTTTTTTTTTGAATACTTTTATTTGTTTTATTTACTTTTGTTGAATACATGTACTATTTTCACAAAATAGAGACCATAGATTTCAATAAGTCTAAAATACGTCGTATTTTAAATGCTTGAAGATTAGCTCTTGTCATTCACAAATCTGAAAATATCCTAATTTTGAAACAGATTTGGATGTTAAGTGCCAACTATCTTTATAATCCTATTAATTAATTCCTCAAACACTGAGAAAGTACCCGACACTGTGCAAAGTACTGGAAATGGATAAATAAAATTCCATTCCTGCCCTCAAGATTATGACTGCATATTTAGGGTATTTAATAGATGGTTATTGAATGGTTATATAAATGAATTATCTGATTTATGTAAACTTTATATCTACTACATTAATTATAATTTCTTATTTTCCTTTCATTAAAGGACCTTAATGTTTCAGTTATAATATATATTCCACTACCACTTCATCTGTAGAATGCACCTTGCCTTCTCCCTCAGTTCAATGTTCCACAAAATGTGGTCTGTAACCATTGCAAGTAGGTTAACAGGTTATTAGTGGTCCACTAACTCAATACTGAAACTGAGAAAGTGTTTAAAAACTTGTAGAAATTTGGCATTGCTGCAACATCTAAAAGTGGGACTATTACTTTAAATTATGTTCATTATATTTTACAAAAGTATTAATCCAAACGGGATTGAAATTTTCAAATATTTATAAACAAACAAACAAATGAATTGTTCATTACAGATAGTTGGAGATGCACTAACCTAGACTCCTACCACTAGAAATAGGTTTACTCTTGCCCATATGCCTCACTTCTTATCTGTCATTAGTTAAAAAGTTTTCAAAAATTGAAACACCAGTGCTGATTAGAGCTATGTTTAGGAGTATAATTTTCAACTTATTTTCTGTTTAAAGGTATATTTAGCTCTAAACCAAAAAACCTGAGAAAGTATGTAACTTGGCAGACTATGTGAATTATTCTATGACTTATGCTTATACATCTTCTAGTTTGAGGAGGAACTGTATCTGACATATTTCACATTGTGTCCCCAGTGCTTAGCTTGATGTTTGGTATGTGATATGTTTTTAACAAATGTTGATTGAATTCCTGAGTTAATAAATGATGTTTTAATAACATACTAGAGATAACATCGAATTCAAGTTTGAAATGAGTGGTTTGCGGTTTTGCAAGCAATAATGAATCAATTGAGACTCAGCATTAAATTTGAAGCCAGCGGTGATATAGAGCTTGCATCAAGGAGACAGAGTTCCATTATAAAACAATGTTTGAAGTGGTAGAGAATACTCTTTATAGTTTATTTCTATATACTATAAATACTAAGGTATTTTAATAAGAGAATGTGGCAACATGATTAACATTTATTAAAAACCCATGGCAGAGTACATACCTTTTTTATTGCACTTAGAATAAAACCCCAAGCTACTTACCATGTTGTATAAGACCCTATGTAACTTGACTGTTGATAAACTTTCCAATGTCATATCGTATCTTTCTCCATCTCACTGTGCTCCAGACACATTGGTCTTCCTTCTATTCCTGTAACAAACCAAATCCTTCCTTACAATCTACAATCTACAATCTACACATTTCAGTTTCCCCTGTCTAGAAACCCTCTTTTCCTGAAATTTGATCTCCACAACTATTCCTATGACTTATTCTCTCACTTCTTTCAGACCTCAGGTCAAATGTCTCAATTTCAGATTTTTCTATGACCATACAATCTGAAGTGATATTATCTATAGTTATTTTTCACCATATCATCTATTGCATGGCCTTCATTGCATTTACCTATATCTGAAATTGTATGGTTTATGTATTCATTTATCAGCTCCATGAAAGCAGGTACCTTGTCAACCTTATTCTCACAATATCTCCAGCGCCTACAGCACCAAATGTCATATAGTAGACCCTCAGCAAATATTCACAAAATGAGTAAATGAATGTAATTTAAGCCTCAAGAAAAGTGTTATAATGTATGTATTGTTTTCAGTAAAACTCAGTTTAAATAGGCTGTACATGTCACCCAACTAGTAAGTAATAGAGCTAAGAATCAATCCCAAGCCTGTTTGACTCAAAACCCATTTACCACTAAGGCACAATGGGTGAAATAGAGGCAGGAGAAGACAGGAGTCTGCATTAGCCAACATGTGAATTGAGTAAAGTAAGGCATTTACACTAGCAGGGGAAAGGGCTTTCTCAAAATAAAAAAACTGGAAAAGAGAATTCATGGAACAAATATGTATTTAATGCCTAATGTGAAGAACTGGTATTTCAAGAAGATTAAGTTTAACTTTCTTGATTAGCAGATATTTTTACCACTTGTTCCAGCACCTTGAA